ATAGAAGTTTCTGAGCATGAGGAACAGTAGTTTCTGAATACGACGAAAATAGTTTCTGAATACGACGAAAATAGTTTCTGAATACGACGAAAATAGTTTCTGAATACGACGAAATAGTTTCTGAATACGACGAAATAGTTTCTGAATACGACGAAAAGAGTTTCTGAATACGACGAAATAGTTTCTGAATACAAGAGTTTCTGAATACAACGAAATAGTTTCCGAATACAACGAAATAGTTTCTGAAGACTAGTTTCTGAATACAGTGCAGTTTCTGAATCCGACTTTGTTCACTGCTGGGTTGCCTGGAAGGCCTACACAGGCCCAGACTGCCTAGTGGGGTTCGGGTTCGCGCCACACGAACAACACCGCACGGCGCGTTTTATGCGGCGCAAGAGTGGCGTGGCGCCGGCGAAAACGGGTGAAACGCTGCGAGGCACCAGGCTTTCGTGGACACAAGTACCTAGAGCCCAAACATGACCTCTGTTTTGGTTGGAAAAGACCATGTTTGGGCTCCAAAACAGGAGGTCACTGGCAGGTTCTAGGTATATTCCGTATGGCTCCTGGCCCACCTCCGTTTCGAGGGTGGTTGGGGTTTTGGTGTCGTTTCGGGGGTCTGTCCCTGCCTTCATCGCCCAAAAGAGAAAGCAACATCTAGGGCTCAGTGAACCCGTTCGTGGTTGATATTCACCCCCGGAGGTAGTGAGAAACCTTGGAGCAGTTTTGAGCTGAGAAACTGGAGCTGAAAAGGAGCTGAAAACTATTAAACACGCATTTAAATGTATATACTTCAAGGGTCTGGGGTCTTTCAAGCCAAGTCCTTAGAAAACGACTCCGCTGACCAAGCGCAGCGAATAAAAAGCACACCTCGACTTCCGGAATCTGGGGTGAGAAACGAGATGTACACACACCACTTGTGAAGATTACCAAAAAGCAAACAGAGATGTGTGTTGCGACTAAGAAGGGAAAAACAGAAGACCTTTTGGAAGACCGCGTCCAATCTTATCGTGCAGCCAAAGGAGTCTCTGCATGCCTCTGCAAAGTATCATCATTGCAACAACGACAACCCTGCGATTGAGACCACTTTGGGAGACTTAGTGCACTTCTAAGAGAAGTCTCCTCTCGTGCAGGGACATGATGAATCTGGCTAAAATAGAGTGCTCCCAACCCCCTTTAGTAAATGAAAAACAATAACGGGCAGGTACCCTGGATAGTTTGTGAGCCACATCCATGTGGATGGACCCTTCATGTATGCATCATGTTCATACATCCTATGGATCCACATACGCTGTGAGAAGGTGATTAGAGACACTTCATGCAGCCTTTGAGGGTTCAAATACCTTCTGAGAATGTCTTTGCATCCCTATAGGAACACTATATAAAGATACATAAAGGATTATAAAAAGTGCCTCTGCCAGTCTGCCAAGATAAGAATTTTGGTCCTTCAACGCAGCTGGTCGGCTGAGAGTACAACACTGGTACGACTCAAGTACCTGGAATGAGTATTGAACGTATAGGGCAGTCAAAATTCAAAATACACTGGACCAAATGACCAGTTGCACAAAAATATGGGTGCGAATCAAGAAGGATCAATATCAAACATCCAAACAACTTCGATGGACCTCAAGGGACCTCCCCACTTACTATACCATGTTGGATGTTCACTTCTCCACCCAGGATCATCTCTCCCCCCCCCACCCCTAACAATTGAGGAACCCAAGCGGGTTCGGCCCGCCTCCAGGAACCACGGGTGTATTATACACACAAAAAAATCAGTGGATGACTCACTCCGACTCACCTTTGGAAGTGGAACACCCGAAAGAAGTCCTCCATGTTTTCAGTGAGTCCTCGTCCGGTCGGGTCCCTTTTCATCCAGTTCCATGTGACCCCCCAAACGAACATGGACAGTGAACGTGAATCCCTGGTTCAAACGATTCTCATCTACCACTCCAGGCACCCACAGGTGACCATGTGGTCAGAGCGTCATACCAAACGGACCAACCCAACGCCAAAGCGCGCCCGTTTGGGGCACCCGATCAGGGCCCACACAGGATCAGGGTCCCAGACCACAAGATCAGAGACCTGGCAAGCATCCCCGTTGCTACCGACTACTGAGGTTCACCCGCCCCCAAGTTTATTTAAAACATTTGCAACATGACTGGTAAGACTTGAGAACCTGTAGCAACGGGGATTAATGAACCGACCTCTTCACATGGGGGAGGTTTTAATCAAGATTCCATAATTACCCACTACCCCTACCCTTTCCTGCAGTCACATGGCATCGAAACAACAAACATCACCCACTAGCTCATGTTTCAACATGGGCCCACCGAACGGGTGGGGGAGTTCTGTCTCATCCCTTGTGCGTCCCGTTCCCGTCAGGCGTCTGAAAGTCTTTTTGAGACAGCCTTGCTTGACCTGCCTTGCTTGAGAAGTGTGCGCATAATCTGATGCAAATGCCACCAGTATGCACGAAACAAAAAGAATAGCCAGGCCTCCACATCCAGCCAGGAGGAAATGCGACCAGCCTCATTGCGACGCGTGCGATTTAACATGAGCCCTTCAACCAAATCCAACAATACAACAGCTATATATGTCGCTCCCATCAGCCGAGTGAAATTGTTCCAACACTGACTTCGAATCCCCTAGCACTAACTTCATTCGCTCACGCAGTTCTGTGTTCTCCGCTGAGCGCGCCACGACACCATCGAGCCTCTCGGCGTTTTTCGCCGCTGCCATCGCCTTGGCGGTCGCCTTGGCGGTCGCCTCCTCCGGCGGAGTGGGCACATCTGCACTCATGCCTGCGGGAGCAGGAAAGAAATGTGAACAGGAAGAGATCCTCAGATGGTGAGATGGATATCTTGAGGGTGAATTGTAGAACACAAGGACCTATTTTTACATAAGCCTAGCTATATAATATATATATACGGACAACGCAAAGAGATCCTGAACTTCGGCTCTGAAGCCGCTAGAGACACTGAAGCCGTTGAACAGTGAGACATTGATGTGCAGTCTATAGTCACTGGTGATCCCCAAAGAGATGAACGGTGTCCAATACATTTTTAGTGGGGATCTACTTTTCTATCTATTTGGGGGTCCAAAAAACAACGTATATAAGACAGTCTTGGTGCCAGAGTGTGATTGCATTTATGTCATTTAGGGCAGCGCATCCATCTTCTCCGATTCTCCAGCTCAGAACAGCTCAGTCTTCTTCCAGCTCAGTCTAGCCAATGATATTCAATGGTGTAACACTTTCTAAAGCCACCCATCGGCCTCTTCAATCTGGTCTCAGCCTGTCTATTTGGGGAGGTTTAAGGTTTATTTTGCTTGAAGAGGCAAATTCGTTGGATTTGCTTAAGGAACCTGAACAAGTAAATCGACATAGTCCCCACAAGGGGATTTACCCAACATCACCTTAACCAACACCAGGATTCTGTACAGTTAAAGCCACGCCACCAGGAATAAGAAACCATGGATCCAAACAAAAAGGAGCCACTGCCCGATTGATCGCATTGATCACTTGGTTCTGGCCACATTTGCTTTTGTGTCTCCCCTATCACACCTACCACATGAAGGAGTTGGCCTGACAGCCTTCGAAGTGAGTGTGTTTAGAGGCTTCCCTTTCTTCGGTCCCTCCCGTTCTTCGGTCACCAGGTGAGATGATGGTCAACTGTGCTCTGTCTTTTCCAGGTGTTCCTTGAGCATCCTCTCATTCTGCACACTGGTGACATCTGGGAAACACATTGCAAATATTGTGACCGGGGAAGGTGTTGGAGTGGCTGACTGGTTCAATGGATTTTTGGGGGGGAAGGGAAAACCTGTTTCATGCAAAATGATGTACCCAATCTCCGCAAGCCGTGAAGCCTCCTGTGACCCGAATCCTCTGCGAACACATTCTGACACGAATCCTCCAACCGAGGGGTCCTGAAGGGTCCTAGGTCCGAGGCATGGAAACTGTCATGGGATGAATGGTCTGGCTGCTAGCCCGTGGTCTTAAAACTTTTCCATACGAGCATCGACAGTCAAAACAAGTCATCCATGGTTCATGTCCTTCAACATTGAGCTCAAAAGTCAAGATGGCGACTGCTAAGGCTATGACTTAAGCCATAGGAAGCCATTGTTTTGCATAAGATTCTTTTAGATGAACGGTGAGCAACACACGTTCCCAGCGTAGAACACCATATTCCTTGTTCACAAAATCTTGGATGTTCGTGCTCAGAAAGTGGTTTGGGCAATGCCGCCCCTTTTTTCCCTAATCCATTTTGGTATGGACAATCCACACAGCACCTCTCCCAGGTTGCCTGTAGCAGTGGCGGCAGCGCCCACAAAATCGATGGCTGACTCCAGAAACTTGATCATGTACCTGGCTCGCCAACCACAATGAAGTTTTCATTTCAGTGGATTCAAAACCTTTCAATTGGTTTCAGAACCAAGGGCGCCAACGATACAAACGGGGTTACAGTTCTATCATAACCACCCAACTTGGGGGGGTCATCTACTCTGCCCACTGTACCGGTCGTTCGATGCATCGGACGCGGATCCGGGACGCGTGGGGTCTCCCTCCGAAAAAGCCCGTTCTTCCGCTGGGAGACCTCCGAGCGTTTCCCCGGAACGCCTGGATGGTCTCCCTGCTTACACGTCCCATATTGAGCTTCCTCTGTCAGAAAGTTGGAGGGTAATCCATGATATACCTCGTGGATCCTCGTGGCAGTGTAGAATGGTGGCCTCGCCGAGCTGGTATATATTTTAGGTTGCTGCAGCAGTACATGTCTTCAAGTTTAGTGAACCTCAATAAGGTGCACACAACGGTTTCAAATCATTTCGGTATATTTCGGTTCATATACATTGTGGGTCTATGTTGTGTAAGCATCTGTGTAGATATGGATTTGCGCACGAACAATTATTGAACACTTCGCAGCCGAAGAAATCGGGAACCTCAATCTGCCTGGCCTTGGTCGTTCTTTCCACCTCAAACCACCACAGCCCGTTTCATGACATGCCTCACATGCCACACGCAGCCGACAACTCGACGGCCGCGCGTCGGAGAGACCGACAACTCGAGGGACGGCCGCACTCTTTGGGAACTCGTCCCAGGCCCGACCCAAAAAGAGACCTGCCGAGGCGCGCGAAAGCGATGCAAAGGCGACCAGCGAAGGCGACCGGCTGACGGCCCGGTCCAACAAAAAGCCATGCCGGTCGCCATGAAACCCTCGATCCGTTCTTTCAGTAGACCGGAGTATGCTTAACACCCCCCCACGTTTGGAGCCACGACCCTTGGCATCACCCAGGGCACGGATTGAGGATAGCAAGCGCCCGCCCCCAAAAAGTGGCACGGCCAGTGCACTTGCCCCCCGCCGCGCCACCCGCCGTGCCGCACATTTATGGCCGAAAGTTGCCAAAATCAAATCGGGGAACTTAAGCATACCCTGGTCATCTGAATCCGTTCTACTTACTGTAACTTCAGGGCTCGTGATGTTTTGCCATGTTTTGCTCTAGTCGTTTTAAAACTGGCCGTGTTCACTGGGATGTTTTGCCTAGAACACACGTCCGTCCGCCGGAGCTTCTTTGGGTAAACAAGCAGGAGTTCATGCTCGCAAGGCTCACACTTGGCCAGAAGGGGCGTAAAAAGGTCGAAATCCAGTCAGCAATACACCTCCGTTACGTTATACCTGCCAAGTTTCTGTGAATCGGGACTGACTGAAACACTTGGGCAAGTGGCAGTCACCACCAGCATCCACGAGGTGCCAAACATGAATCCAAAGCGGTGCTCAGTGCTCTGTTCATCTGTTTTCCCCGCAGACTAATCCCGAGTACCTATCAAAAAATATCGAGTTTTTCTTAATAGGGTGGGCCCTCGTGTTTTTTTAAATAGGTAGAAGGGATTAAAAGCTTTCCATTTGGACCACACACTGTCTCTCCCGAAACCACCACGCCTGTCTTTCCGTGGTTGGAGGATGACGACTGGGGACTCCTGTCCAACGAGTCGATTCAGCACCATTTGAAGGATGTGAAGCAAGTCAGAGCTGAGGTATGAGTGATTCCCGAGCCGTGTCTATCGATCACAGGTCAGGAACTGATCTCATGAACTACTGGACCTGCAGCATACAAAGACATGACTACTTATTATAGTTATATACTGAAGGAGACAGACTTGTAGGGATCCATGGAACGTTAAAATCTTCACTGTACGTTCCACTTTTCGTTTTTAGTGAGGAAAGCATTCCACCGAAAAGTTAAAATATAGCTCATGGTAGTCCAATATATCAATCAGGTCTCATCAAACTCTTCCTTCAACTGACCCACAGGATTTTTTTCATTAACAACTTAGAGCACACTGTCATGAGGACAGGTTTTTTGAAATATATAGTCTCTTTGCTATCAGCGGTGCGGTCCTGCTTTCCACAAACGCACACACACTTCTCCGCGCGCGCGCACACGCCCATACCCACACGTGTCGACCATACCTTCACAACCATGTCCGACCTTCTCGTCGGCCGGGTGCCGTACAGAGTGAGGTGAGCTCGGCAGGCCTCATGTCGTCTTCGTACGCGTCGTGTGATGCGCTCGTCGTGGTCGGCACTCGTCGTCTGAGGCTTCGGCCCGAAATCTTCGCGTCCTCAGCCTGGAGAAAGGGTGTGCTTTTGTTTGTTCCTGTAGCACAACCTGACAAAACAAACAAAAGCCATATACATTCAAGATATTCAAGTACACAAATATAGAGGTAAAGTTTATACAAAATCAGTACAGTTCAAAACGCACGGATGACACCAGGATTGCTCAAACCCATGCATGACACATGAATGGCGCAATGCCGCAATACAAGACAAGCTCATTGCACACAATCACATCAAAAAGTACCAACAGGTTGAAAACAGTGGTGCACATTGTAATTGAACGGAATCTGCAATGTTGCATTTCTTGCAATCATTTCGCAGAATTTCGCACCTGATATCCCAAGTGATGCTGGGTGTTTAACTTGTCGGTCCGGAAGCTGCTTGTGAAGGTTCTGGTGAATGGTTCCCATACTAGCAGCCCATGAATCAGGGACGTTGGTTTGTCCATGAAAGTACAGGAACTCAAACATTGCTTGCAACCAAAATGCTGCAAAACACTACAAAACATCAAACAAATACCAAAAAAGCTGCAAACATATGAATACGAGTACATCAAAAGAGCCATGGCTCAACCAAGGTGCTTCTTTGAGAGGCCTGATAGGATCATGTACCATCTACTTGGGAGGGCCCAAGCAGTTCTTAAGCTTGGCTCAGGAACTTGTGTCTCCGCACAATTGGCACCTTAACCGACACTCAGGCCCTTTTGTAAGTCAACAATACCGAATCATCATCACCAAACTAGCAGAAACACGACCGTCAGAAAGCCTTCAATACAACAGAATTCAAATGCTCACGACCCAGTATCGGCAAACTCTTGGAGCATTTAAGTACATGTATGCAACATATCTATTTTGAGCAGAAACACACATATGAAAAACCTATCATGCTCGTCATCGCACGAAAGGTGTCATGAGAAGTCATCAAACATCGTCAGCCGGGGTTGAGATGGTGTAAGGTTCATTAAGCCTGGATCGTCTGGTGCGATGGTCTAAGCTCTCAAGTTGGAGCCGTTTGTCCCACAGAGCTTTGATGCCACAAATGGTGATCTCGCTGTGGGTGGCATGGACGCAGTTGCTATACATGACTTACATGACCCTGTGCTTTCTGCTGGAATTGAACGAGATCTCAGTGCAACTGAATCGAAGAACTTTCGTCCACACTCCGCACGTATCTGTCTTCGAACTCCAAGCTCGCTCGCTCCAATTGTTGCAGCAAGCGGTCAAACCATTCCGACAAACAGGTGACGCACGATTGCACAACAGCGGAACATGGATGAATCTGCCAGCTTGAAGACCTGAAACGCGCCAACAACATGGTGCAACTACAACGAAGTACTTGATTTAATCCAGGCCGTAGCGGGTGCTGTGCGGGTGCGGTGCGGGTGCAGGGAATAGCGAAGCCTGCGTTGAAAGATCAAGCTTGGAAGTGTCAGTTCTGCTTGGTGCTTTCAACCAACCTGATTAGTCTTTTGGGATTCATGGTAGGTAGTCAAATAACTACTGTACAGGTTGGATCGAATGACGCCGGCATAGACCCACTTCGCGCAAGATATTTGTAGGCACCGCCCATCTTGACAGCACGCCGGTGCTCAGCTCACAGCACATCCTAGCACCACAGCGCCGCGAGCATCAGCAGCGTGTTTCAAAAAGCGTGCACCTCATTCTCCAAGTCAGAACCCTAAGCCTAGCTATCGCTATCGTGGGGAAGAAATATAAACCCGGTACAGTCCTTTGCTTGGACACGGCCTCTTGGAACACACCGGTGTTCCGACCACCCTCAACCACCCTCAACACAGTGCGCCGACGCTCCGGTGCTGCGGTGCTCAATGCCTTTGGTGCACTGAAGGCATCCTTGGCCGCGCGCAAGTACCTGGCACGTCATGCGGCGACGGAAGCGACGCAGCCGAAGCATGGCACGTCTAAACTTCACGAAGCTGATGGAAATAAGTCAGGAACAAGAACCTAGTGACTTAGTGTAAGCTGGTTAGCCTTTTGGGTGGCTTTGCTGGGAGGAAAACCATCCCTGTACTGTGCAGAACTCTGTGGTGATATGACGGCTTTGTAGTTGATGTAAAGGTGAACGACGGTGTGCTGTCGAGTAGGAAACAAATGTAACAAAACGCTACATGATCCCAATACAAGGCGAGAACATACTATCCCCATGTGGTAAGAGGAATACAGAAGCAGGACAAATGCGATCTCTCAGCTCTACTTTTGTGGAATCATCATGGAAGTAGAGCATGGCCTTGGATGACCAAGGCCAACACGTGCGCAGGTGGTGGTTTCCACTTCCATTCCATGGAGTGAAGCCGCCATAATGTAACAAATACCGATGACCCGTAATCTTCCTGCAACTTAGCCATCTACAGTGTGAACAGAGGTGGTGGGCAAAGCCGATGTGGGAGGGATGCATCATCAACGAACAGCATCCGTCTTATGCGGTCTTGGGTACTGGCGCGTTTTTCAAAGCAAACATCAATGGGTATGGCTGGCCCCGAAACATGGATCGGGGCGTGGAGCGTGTGTGGTTTTGGTCGTCTCATCCAAATGTTTCTGGCAGCCACATTACAGTAATTCAAACGAAGGTGCCACTTCATAGCTTTGATAGTATCACCATGCCTTGGGTCTATCCTATTAGCAGTAACACTGCATGATGATGATTAGGTTGCAGGCCCTGTCCAAAAATAGTGATTTGTTTGTTTACTGACTGTTACAGGTCATAGGACAGACCCAAACCATGCCAGCATTTTTGCTCACATTATTGTGCAAAGGAGTCATGTTCACTTTGGCCAGTGACAGTGACAGGCAATGTTCACTGGCCAGCCGCCTTGCTTAGATTGCATTGAATATATTTATAGCATTATTAATTAATATTTACCAGCGCTTAACCATGCGTTGTTCTCTTCCACATCATCAAAAAGGTCAAGCAAGGTCAAACATGTATAGCAATGCCCTGTTCATTTGCTCTGACATCAAATATGCGCTCCTCAAATCGAAACACACCTGCGGTGTGGATACGCTAAATACCCACCCCTTAGAACCAGTATACCAGTACACCTCACCGACAAGTCCAGCTATGGGAAGTTGGTGCACATGGAAAACTCAACGAACAACGCATGGTTTCGCCGAACATGGGGTGGCAGTCCAGCTACCCACAGATGGGCTCACATTCAAAAGGCATAAAAGATGACCATAGCGCTCCTTTTTTCAAACTGTCCAAGCTGCTCCTTTCACTGTCCATTTCTCCCCGTGACCGATGCTTCCCACTTCGGAAGTGCCAATTCATGGCCACATCAGCAAACGCGGGATCTGCGGGGCGGCGCTGACCCAACGGTCCCACCCCGCAGGACTTGGCGCTGCAGTCCCGGTGCGGACCCACCCGACATGCCACGCCTTCGGTCGACCGCTTCCCGCGTCGCTTCCGTCGACTCGGCCGCGCCAGGCTGGTGATGCGGTACGGTCCGGACGCAGCGCCGCTGTCAGGTCTCCTGGTCGGTCGGTCAGGTCTCCTGGCCCCAAGGCGAGCTTGCTTTGGCGCACGGGAGCGAGCCGTGAAGCAAACCAGCGTCACGAGCAGCTTTAACCAAATTGAGTGGATGCTAAGCCACCAAACTCGGCATGTCTAGAATCGTTGGAGCCCACAGTGTGCAAATGAGGATACTTTACTTGACTGAGTCTTTGATGGTTTTCCATTGCTGAAGGCAGGTGAAGGGCTACTACCCCAGGTCCTCAAGGTCATCACATTTGGAGATCACATGCAGACTCTTTACCCAAAAACCAGTCGACTCTTTCCGATCTCGTCTCACCTCCCAAGCAACCGTTGTCTAGAGTCTAGACTTTTCACCCGCGACGGCCGTCTTCTCGCCCACGGTCGCCCGACGACGCGGGTACGCGAGACGCGTTCGAGAACAAGCTTTCGCACCTGGGTGGGCGGTACGGATGGAATAAATCTCCCGCTGCGGTCGAAGACCTCGGTCGTTCGAATCGGGCGAAAACGCTCGTGGGCCAAATCGCGTCCGGACAGCCCTGTGGCGTCCGGACGCGGCGAAAACACGACGTAGTAACAGTGGCTCAAGCCACTCAATGCTGTGAAAAAAGAGTGGATTCAGGAACAAGAACAAAACACAGGCCGCCATGCATGTCACCATATGTCACCCATTTATTTGTGTTCTTTCCAGTGAGCATTTAGTACGATGTACAAAAGGTCATATATCAAAGTGACTGCACGGAATTTATCATGCCAATCATGGTCCTTTCCAACACAGCCTAGCCTCCGCACCCTGCATCCTTGAGTACTGGATGGTACCGGGCGAACTCGTATCAGAAATCCGTGGGACTATCCGTGGGGATCTGTGGTGCACTCATCAGGGTGAACTGGTTGAGTGTCCACCATGCAATGAATGAAGGATGATGAAGGCCTTGCTGATCATGATGAAGTCCAAAGACCCATCGGCGTCAACAAACAATCGGACTGGAAGAGTTCCAACATGATGCATTTGATTGTTTTTATTAAGAGTCTATGCATATCTGTCGTGCATGGAATATCTGGAAATCATCCAAATACCCCCTGATTGAAGGTTCATGCTCATCCATCACTGGGATGTCATAACAAAAAAACCCTCAGCACCCCGTGAGTCTCGGACGTAGGTCACCTGGCGCACCACGTTGGTCCCAAGAGCCGCAGAAGGGACCCAGACCCAGACCATCCGTGTATGGAAAAAACGGGTGCCCGCCGCCCGCCTACAGAAAAGTGTCGAACACAAACACATCACCCTTGATAGAAGGTTGGCGATCCAATAAAGGGAGCGATGGTTTGGTCATGAGACTGACAGTTGTGTCTGTCCCATAGAAGCTTCAGGCTGTCAGGAGCATCGCCGGATGTGTATATGGATAATGCATGATAACGCTCTCCAGAGTGATCATCGACCCTCTGTGTGTTGATCCTCGGCATGAAACCAGAAGTAAGTAGAGTAGTAGTTCCTACCAAGGCCGCAAAAGGGGGGAATGCAGCCGCGGCGATTCTGTCAGTGACTGATCAAGTGCCAGACTGGTCAAAGTTGGACATCATCTTAACACAGGAGACTGCAAAGACCAACTCCCATGGGTGTGTATGTTAAATAGCTACTAGTAACAAGTGAGTAACAAGTGCATTACTACTAGTAGCAAGAAGCTAGTAGTAACAAGTAGCTTGAAGTTAAGACTCTTGGATTTCTGAACACGAGACTCCAAAGATCAACCTCTCATGGTTGTGTATTCTAAGTCCGGGAGACACCCCAAAAACGCCCCTGGCTGGGTAGACGGGTCTAATTCCCAAACCGAACTTCAGGGGGTCGGAACGAACTCAGGAGGTTTCCCTATTCTAATACATATCATTATATCATAATATATCCGTTAGCGAAACTGCGCAGGAAATCACACAGTTGACCCCAAACGGGCAGCAAGTCAAAATCTTGTTCCCTGGTGAAATCGTTGACACCTGTGTTCCACGATCTGAATCGTCGTGGGAGGTTCGCCTCGACTATACCACTATTGGTGTTCATCTGCGGGGCTCGTGTCGCATGTGAACGTTCAGGGCTTCCTCAAATTTATTCCAATGAGACCTTTCTCATACCCTGACAGGATCATCACTTGTTCACAGGCAGGATCCCTGCTCGCTGAGACGGACAGGTCGGCCGCCAAAAGGTCCGAAAAGCACAGATCAAACGGAGTCGGAGTGCAGCCAGGAATGCGACAGGGACGCCAAGGCGTTCTCTCCGAACCTTAAAAAACCTCGTGTTCTCTCCCTTTTCACTGAAGTGCGCGCCTTCAGATGGGCTCCTTCCTTCTGAAGCCAATCGCGGATGTCATCCGTGGTGCCCCACTTCCCCTCCTGGACAACAAAAATGAGCCATGTTGGAAAGCTAGTGGACATCTTGCGGCAGACTGGTTGGTTGATATGGGGAACAATATTCTCGGTTGTCACAAGTCACTGACTCACAAGTAGTGCATGCCTTCAACAACAATCGTGAAGCAGTTGGGAAGTCAGGGTGAGAGCCAGGTGATACCCAAAATATGTGTGACAGTTTCTAAAACTTAGTCCCTACGAAACCACAGAGTCTGCATAAGAGCATGTGAACATGAGTGACCTTCTGGGAGAGCTTTCCTGGAAACAAGGCCAACTGGGAACCTAGGGATCACTTCAGCTACCGCTTTTGAAGGTAGACACGAGCGAAGAAAGGATCATGTCCAATCTCCAAATAGTCAAGTGGGAGTGATTCCAAATCCTTTTGGGCATCTATGGTCTATCTATATTCTATATTTGGAAACTTTGGGATTCAAAACTCTTTTGGGAACCTATATTTGGCAAATTTTGGGCGTATCAAACGTTTTCCGGAAGTTCTGTCCAATTTCCAACCCTGAATTCCCAAGCATTTCGTTGTCGCTATTCTTGCGACGAAGCCATTGGGTTCGGTACGTTCAAAAAGGTGCGGCAAGAGGTGTACTCAGATCCGCGGGTTGCCCCGGCGGGCCAAACCACCTCCGATTCTCCTCGCGCTTCCAGTCTCTGTAGTTGTCGTTGTCAACCAGTTGGCATCCATAGCGCATGGCCAAACGGATCGTGAACCTAAGGTGACTCCCAGCCGCGCCCAAACCGTGGAGATCGAGTGGTTGTTCAGAACCGAAGCTCGCTCCCAGGGCGAACGCCCTGCACATGACCTGTGGAAAGGTGGGTGGTGCGGCACTGGTACTTTTGCACTTTTTGGAACAAAAAAACACATTCAGAATCAGTTCCAGCCAAGCTTGGTGTGCCCAGGTCTGATCATGTCTGACCACGTCTTGTTTGGAAGGTCCAAACAACATCTGCGCACCAAAAAGAAGTGCTTTGCCCCC